TTTAGGCCTCCGTTAGAAGCGGGAGTTGAGCATAAGCTTTCCCGGCAAACAAGGAATTTTTTGCGATAGGCAAAGATGTCTACGTGTCGCTACTGTACTCCGATCGCCGTCTCCGTCATTAGTCTCTTCGCCATCAATCTCTTTGCCATCAATCTCTCCGCCATCAGTCTCTCCGTCATCAGTCTCTTCGCCATCAATCTCTCCGCCATCAGTCTCTCCGACATCAGTCTCTCCGCCATCAATCTCTTCGTGATAAGTCTCTCCGTCATAAGTCTCTCCGTCATAAGTCTCTCCGTCATAAGTCTCTCCGTCATAAGTCTCTCCGACATCAATTTCTTCGCCATCAGTCTCTTCGCCATCAGTCTCTTCGCCATCAGTCTCTTCGCCATCAGTCTCTTCGCCATCAATCTCTTCGCCATAGATCTCTTCGTGACAAATGGCTTCGTGGTACGGTAATGCAGCTAGCCGCCTCCCGTACACTGACATAAGACGCTGCCCGTAACACGCTGCTGCGATGACCATGATGTGTAAGATGTGATGGCTGACATCCAACATACCAAACTCCATGCCTACCGCCTTGTCGAGAAGGTGAGTTGTGTAGATGCCGCCGCCTGTGCTGTTCAGGATGACGAGAGCCCAGAGGTGAGCGAGCCCGCAAGCCTGGCCTGACTGACGCAAGCACCAGCAACGCAGTCCTAGCTAGGTCGCAAGGCCTATCGGTTGCCTTTGACTACCTAAGAGACAACACTAGCACGAATAATCATGGTCGCAGGATGAAACATGCCAGCCGAGAGAGTTCTATAATAACTTCCATAGATAGAACTATGGGGTAAATGGTTGCAGACGAGGGAACGTCAGTGTCTCGTCCATCTCAATGACCTGTACGGCAGAAGGATCGGTACAGTAGCTGCTGTGAGTGTCAACATGAGTACCAACGCCGCGGCTCATTTACGCCCGGTGTCGTCGATGTCACTGTCATCATCGACGTTACCACCTTTGCCTTTATCGCCACGTTGATCCTCCTTGTAATTACGATGTGCAAGTGGAGAGGGCGTAAGCGTAAGCATAAGCATAAACACAATCGACAGGCGTTGCAGATATGCGGCGTAGTCTCTCTGATGATGCTATCGAGGGGTCCCCGCGGTCTTCTCGGAATATCGTGTCCGTATATCGATCCAGCAGCTACCTGGCAGACAGGACTTGGCAGCAACGCTGACCCATCAGCGCACACACGCCAGGAACGTAATCCACTTGTGTAAGCCATCCTAGAGATTCGTTGTAGCCTCCTCCTTCTTCTCCCACATCCGTCTGCTAAACACCCGTTCTAGCCGCCGGTGATACACCTTGTCATGAGCGCTTTCGGTCTTGACGGTGGCAATTTGACTTGAATACAAAGGAATACCCTCCCTCCATTTCTCCTCGCACGTACCAGAGCCGTGTCCGCGTCCGACGGTGCAATTCCATTCTATGCGCAGCTATCTTACATATGACGGCAGCGGCATCCTCTGATGCACAACAATGGATTGGGATGATTTTCAGCAGAGAGCCATCGTGGCCATTCCTAAGCAGACATTGAAGCCTAACCGGTGCTGGGTCGGGGTGCTCCGCCACGAGAAACGTCCAGAGGCACTCCTTGAAGAAAGAGATTTTGTTTGGATGATTGGTTATGATGTATGTATCACTGATGTCTGCAGTCTCATACTTCACAAAAAGTTGCTAAAGCCGACGCCTATTGACATATGTGTAGCAGATGCCCATCCGGACGATCCAAGAAACATATTTGAGATCACACAATGTAATCAGCCTCCAGCTCAAACACGGAGACGCTCTCGTCGATCAGAACGACACAGTCCGGTCTTACCTGCGGCCTGGCAGTGATCTTGTCCTATTCTGGGCGACGTGCGCAGAACAGTCCATGTTGGGAGTTATCAAGGTATCCGCCATTCCTACTCCCGCTCGCCAGGCGAGGAGTC